ATAGAACAACCAAGCTTTATATATATTTTATAATTCTCTCCCCATTTGTTTTAATATACATGTGATTTTATCCATTCCTTATAAAATGTCTTATTAATCTCATTTTACAGGAAAGGAAAGATTCTTAGAGTTTAATGTCTAGCTGAGCATCTGAGTAAGTTCTTGGATTGAGATCTTCGGACTTTTGGTCTATCATATATTTCACTGTGCTATAACTACCTTTACTCTCATGATATTAGCTCTTTTCAAGAAACAGAAGAAAAACACTGAATAATGTGGACAGAGCTAGATTTTGTTTGTGAAGCACCAAGTGCCAAGTGCTAAGCCACCAATACGCTGGAGTTATAGGGGAGTAGAAAAGTCATGTGTTGACCTCAAGCACAAGTAACAAATCATTCTAATGACAGTGTTTATTTAGAAACAAAATAACATAAGAGTAGACAGATTAGAGAGTGCATTCATGGCCAGAACAGGTACCACATCCCCAAATCTAAGGCCAGCAGTCCCCTAAGTAACCTAGGCTGACTTTCCCCTCATTTCCACCAGAGGGGGAAGTAAGTTATTTGTTAAGAGAAATGCACACAAACTGGAGCCCCTACTTTGCTGATTTGCACATGTGTGGACAAGCTCTCTCTAACCTCCCTGTCTCACTTCAATAGAGTACTAAGTATTAATTTTCACATGTGAAAAGGAAGTGCCTTCCAGAAGCTGGAAGAGGTGACCCAGTTTCCTGTTTTCCAGTTCCAGTCAGTCTGTTTCCCTTATGAAATAGGAGGTTCTTCACCATACTTTTTTTTTGTTCTCAAAAAAATAAAAATAATAAAAACATAAAAAATTGGATGTTCTTATAGATAGATTTAGAAGACATTTTTAAATTTTGCTTACATTCTTAAAAGATGGAAAAATAACTATTTCTATCAATATCTGCACACACAAAAATGTGAAATTCTATATTATCTGAATTTATTTGAGCTGAATCTAGAATATAGCCATTCAAATTCTGTCACAGATCCAGTTAACATAATATTTTGAATTACTGCAACTGTATGAAAAGTATTTCTCTGACTGAATTTAGCCACTTAAGAATTTTTAAATACTAAGCATGGATAACTCCTCCTCAGAAAATTGAAATGATAGAAAAAAGCCTTAATAAAACCCACAAAGAAACATTGCTGTCATCAATACTTAAGTGTCTACCAGAACAAAAAAAGGTTAAAGTGATTCCTAGAGAATAGAAAGAAATGATAAAACTTTATGCCACATCAACATGTCTCAAATGAACAAACAATTTAAAAGTATGGTTGTCTACAATGCACATCTAATTACTTAGTACTTTCCCCCATTAAAATACATCCTGATCCTGGTAAGTAAGTCACACCCCCAAATGTGGAATTCCTTCTTCTAGAGGAGTGGTATTTGTTTTGTTTCTTTCCATTAGAAATAGAAACCCTATTTCTTCTGCTGAGATATTATTTTTCTTTTAATATGATTAATAAAAGGAGAGAAATTTTCAGAAATTTCAAATGCTATTTCAGAGATGCTATAATTTATAATTTTGCAGTTTGTTTTCCCCCTTACTCCTTTAAATTAGTATAAAGAATAAGAACTCTCATGTAATAAAATTACAATTTCTTCAGGTCAAATAAGTGGCTATAATCATAAACCAAATCCTGGGCCTCCCTGATGGCGTAGGGTTAATCTCAGTGTTATCACCACCATGGTCTGAGTTCGATCCCCAGCCAGGGAGATAACCCACATGCACAGCAGACTTCTCCTGTCTTGCCCACTGTTCCATTTATACATGTATTTCAGTAGATGCACTTATTCTGCTATTCACTTTGTCTCTGGCAAATCCTCTTACCCCCTGGACCTCTGGCCTATGCCCCAGTTCTTCTATAAATAAATAAAAAAATAAATAAATAAATAAATAAATAAATAAATGTTTAAAAATAAATAAACCAACCAAATCCCAACAATGAAAAACGAGTAGTAAATCTCCTGGCTTCCTAATTCCAAAAAGATTCTTTAAAGTCATTCATTATTAATCTTGACAGGTAATAGAGAATTGTACAGAATAGATAGTGCTTCTTCATGGCCCTGATACTTATGGAATTTTAGCTTAAGTCATATTTGTTATATGTTTTCCTGTGTGATTTGGGAGAATGTTTTTTTCATTGGGGTTGGGTCAGAATTTGAGTGAGGCCAAGGCATGGAAAGATGATAAAATACTGTTTTTCAGGCAACTGGTAGTTTGTAAGTTGGTTATCAAATTGGGGTCATTTCAGGTCACTCTTGGAAACAGGAATGGTGAGTGAGCTCAGCACCTAGTAGCTACCACTAATACCACATTTGGGAAATTTTGCTGCAGCAGCTGAATCAACAGCTGGGATTCTAAAATCCCTAACTTGCACATAGGATTTAGCTTTCTCACCCACAAAATTATGGTCCTATATTTATCATCTGTGTGTCACTTTATATTTATGAAATTATATAAAAAAGGATTTATTGGGAAAGTAAGGAAATATTTTTGATAATAATTTAAAATCATGAATCCTAGGCTTAGTAGAAATGCAGTTCTTGGTAAGTCACGGTCCATTAGACATAACAATAACTTATCAGCAAAGAATTGCCATTAGCTAATAACTTTTGAAAGAAATCATTATTAACTAAAAAAACTATGAGCTATTGAAAAGGCTATCCCTTTTACCATTAATAGCAGAAAGCCTTTCTAAATTGCTATAGAGTTCATCCAAGGCTTTATTCTCTTTAACAATATCTATCAATTTTAATTTACAATGAGAAGAAAAATGAAAGTTAATTTATGTGGTACCTTTGAATGCCTTTGTTGTTTGTCTTGTATTCAAAAGACATTTGCCTTTTTGTTGGAAGTTTTGAAGGAATAACTGCCAAAGGCAGGTCTCTTGGCCAGGTGTAGAACAGATTGAGAAAAAAGGAAACCTGATTCTACCAGGCTAATATACACAGGTGATGTGCAAATCTCCTGCCAACTGTAACCATAGGTGTTGCTAGCCCCCTCTCCATAAATAAATAGCCTTTTAAGAAAGAACTTCTAGATATTTTGCTGCTACCTCAGAATGATACTGGCCTGAAACAAGGCAAGAGTAATCAAACACAATGAGTTCCCCAAACAGGTTATCACTATAGACTGAGGCAGTAGTCTGGTCTGGGGAACAAAGGACTTGATTTTTTTTGTGTGTGCTTCTTAGAGTAGTATGTCAGTTCTCATATATACACTTCTTTTGATATATTTATTTTTACAGCTCTGTAGTGTGGCTGTTTCAAGTTCAGTTTATAGTATTTCATAGCTAAAAGGGACTTTGGAGATGATGCTCATACAGAAGAAAACCGTTTTCACATCTACCTTTTTTTGGAACTGTAGAGTCACATATCATTTTTCTTACTTTTGCAAATGAATGAATTGGAGACTTTTTAAAAAATTGAGTTTGGCTAATTATCAAATCCTATTCACTGCAAGATTAGTGAAGGGAAAAGTCACGTAGAATTATGCTCTAAAGGTTTAGTCACTCTTTTATCCAGATTTTAAAAGTATATTTATTCACTTTCTCACATTGTTAATTTTTGGACAGTGTTTGATTTCTCCCCTCAGATGCAGTCTGGGTAGTCCACCTGTCGTCATATTACCTGAGCCATGTTCATGGCCCCAGTTCCCTTGTCTCTTACCTCCCCACTTTTAGCCTCTCTCCCTCCCCCTCTCCTTCTCAAGATTTTGGATAAGACTCAAGATGAACTTTTACAAAGACACATTTTCTTTCTCTTAATGCAACTTGAGAGTGGGGGCCTCCCTACTGGCACAGGGGTTAAAGTCAGTGCTATCAAGGTATCGCCAACCACTGAAGCCTGAGTTCAATCCCCAACCAGGAAGGTGACGCACTTGGCCCAGCAGACCTCTCCTGTCTCACCCACTGCTCCCTTCCTCAGTGTATTTCAGTAGCTCCACCTGTTCTGCTCCCCACTCTGTCTCTGGTGAATTCTTTCACTTACTGCACCTCTGGCCTATACCCCAGTTCTTATATGCATAAGTAAATAAAAAATAAATCTTTAAAAAATAAAGCGGCTTGAGATTATTAATCTGATGTTAAAATTCATAATTACAGATGAGTTTCATATTTTTCAAAAAAGATTTCTAATGTCAATAATGTATTCTTCTAATTAAAAAAATGTGAAATAAAAATAAGCAACTCTCTCACCATGGGACTTTAAAAGTAAAGTCAGTATCTCAAAGAAATTATAAACAAATTGGGCCTCTTAAGATTTTCACTCTTGTCTCAAAACTCATTCTTTGTCAGTAAGACTCAGCATTTTTTTTTTTTTTTTTTTTTTGCGGCTAGGAAAGCACAGTTATTAATGGCCCATTATTCTCCACCTTCCTGATGCAGACAAGTGAATGCAACTCCCTGCCTCACAAAATATAATTGATTTAGTTACATGGGCATAATTGTTCTATTAGGAAGAATCAGTTCTTCAAAACTTAGGGGAATGAGTAAGTTAGAGGTGAGGCTGGCTAGACTTGCCTTAATATGGAGACCATCAAGTGAGGAGAAATCAATTGACATCTATTTAATACTCTATGATGTGTGAAAACTATTCCAAGAAATTAAATTGCCTTTTTTTCATTTTTCCTTCTCAAAAGGGAGAATTCAGAAGTTTTAGTTAAAATGTACATTTCACTTATGAAAAGGTAAATGTGATTTCAAAGTATATGGAGCTTTTATTAGGAAACAGAACTTCATTCTAATAACATTTTATAAATGCTGTCAGTACAGATTATTTGTAGATAAGTTTGTTTTACTTGGGTTTACAAAGGACAGCGGAACATCTTACAGAAAAAAAAAAAGTTGCCAGTGTAAAGAAAATTATAAATAGGATTGTATTTTATAAATAATATGATGCACCACTGATAGATACATAGTGCCATAAAACTGTGATAATAATGATACATTGAATTTGATGTTTTGCAGGTTTTGCATGGATGTGACTTTTTACAGAGACTCTAAATTACTCATTTGGAAACAGTTTCAGAGTCATCTTAGTCATGTATAACAGACCTGGACTTTGTTCCAGACCTTTTAGATCTTGAAAATATCTAGGTAAACCCACTTAAATAGAACGAAGTTAGAATTTTGAGATTTCTGATTTATTTAAGATTAAATCTTTAATTGACTCATATTAAAACAAACTGTTGAATTACATAAGAATTCACAAGTACCTTTTAATATAAAGAATTTAAATCATAAACATGTAAAAATTAAAATTGGAAATTACTTTTTTTTAAAGATTTATTTATTCATGCATACAAGAACTGGGGTGTAGACCAGAGGTGTGGGGGTTGAAAGTATTCATCAGAGAGAGTGGGGAGCAAAACAGGCAGATGTACTGAAATACACTGCTGAGGGGAGCAGCAGGAGAGACAGGAGAGGTCTGCTGCGCCATGTGGGTTAGTTCCCTGGCCAGAGGTGTATCAAACTCATGCTGCAGTTGCTGGGGATAGCTTGATATGCTATGTCTTTAACCACTATGCCACCCCGGAAGCCCAGGAAATCACTTTTTTCCCTACTCTTTTTTTGCCTGTTTGTTGTAAATCATTTCAGACACACCTCTATCAATTTAACCACAAAGGAACATGCACAGAGATACATCTATATCTGTGTGATACATAAAAAGTGTTTGATTTTTTTTTTAATATACAAGAACTGGGGTACAGTCAGAGGCGTAGGAGGGTGAGAGAATTCACCAGAGACAGAGCAGGGAACAGAACAGGCAGACTGACGAAATACACAGCTGAAGGGAGCCGCGAGCAATACAGGAGAGGTCTGCTGCGCTATGTGGGATTCTCACCGCCTGGCCAGGATCGAACCTGAGCTGCAGAGGCTGCAGACAGCTTCATAGCTCGGCACTCAACCCGCTGCACCACCGGGGAGACCCCTGATTCATTTCTTTTATAAATTAATGGTAAAATAGATGACAATTTTCATCTTTCTCCTGCAACTTGATTTTTACCTTGATAACACATGCAGCTACTTTCTTATGTTTATAATAGCTGCTTCATTCTTCTAAATTACTACACATTGCTTAGTATAGAGAACCCATGATTTATGCAACCATTTATATATTTTTGATGGACACATTTAGTTTCTAATTTAATTTTTAACAAGTGATATATTGTACATAGATATCTCTGTAAATATATGAGATTATTAAAAAATAAATTCCTAGAGATTACTAACACTGGAAAATTGCCTTTCATCAAGCTTCTACAAAATTTTGCTCAATAAATCTACCAACATGCTACACTGAAAAAAAAATTTTTAAATTCTTTTTGTGTCATAGAAAATGGATATTTACATTAAAAAAGTACTGTGAGGCTTGACCAAGATGGCATCAAAGGAAGATTCCTGTTTCACTCTTTGGAGAATAATCTGAAAGTTATCTGGGAGGACATTACACCCAGAGGGTCCCGTGACTTGGGGCAAAACTGGAACACAACTTCAGCATTAGAGACCTGCACAGATCACACCAGAAGGAACACTAAAGTCTTTTAACTCATTCAACAAAAGGTGGGTGGAGAAAGATGCTTGGAGCCTGTGTTCCAGGGCAGAAGTCTATTATGTAAACCTTGGAGTTGTGCTTTCTTTTGGCCAGCAGCCCCGGGGAGGGCAGAGCTGAATGATAAGGAGGCACCTGCCTGATTGAGGGGAGATAAATATGGAGGAGCGGAGGTGGTCCAGTGTGCTGGGCCCACAGTGAAAAGGACAATATGTCAGGTTATATTCTCCCTTCCCTAACCCTGGGGGCTGGTACTAACCTTATGAGGTATATTAACAGAATGCAGACTGCAGAGATTCAGGTCTAGACCTGAGTTTTCAGGGAAGAGGGTAATTTATGCTACCATAAATGTGAGCCAGCTCCCAACCCCCCAACACTCAACAGTGCTTGTATATTTCCAGCCCAATCATCCACCCCCTGACTCCCTGATGTATGATGTACAGAAGCCTGCAAAGACCAAATATCTAAAATCATATGAAGCGTGGACAAGTTAAAATAAGTAAAGCCAGAAAACCCACATTGCCATGTGTTGGAACAGTAGGAATTCTTAAAAGTTCTAAGTTACTTCTAAGGATACTATTTTTAAAAAAGCAAATTCTGAAGCAACACAATGGGAAGACAGAAAAATACATGGCACCTAAATTCCTCAAAGGCCACAAGGAGAGAACAACTTTCTAGAATTCAACCACAGAAACACTGACGATCTTCAGTTCTTATCAGACCTAGAGTTCAAATTTGGCGTAATACAGAAATTAAAAGGAATGAAAGATATCACAAAAGCACCAGTCAAAAATGTACTAGATAACTCAGGAAAACAAACAAACAAACAGATGAATGTCCTGAGAAATAAAATTAAATGAAAAGAAGATAGAAATTCAAAACTTTCAATATGAAAATAATGGAGACGTGAGATGTAACTCAATAGGTAAATCCTTTTACTTATGGCTTCTTCTTTTTATGTGATACTGAGAAAAAATGCATTACTTTCAAGCTAAAAATAAATCATCTATGTTTTTCCTAAATTCAGTTCTTTATTGTACTTGAATTTATTAGGTATAATCTGAAGTAAGTATTTTATTAAGTTTTGTCAAAAGTTTCTAAACAATGATCTCTAACTTTTTTGTTAAACTCTTCATTTCTTATTGATTTCAAAGGCCAACATAATCATGGCCAAAATACTTAATTGTGTTTAACATGCATGCGTTTCTGGACTCTCACTTCAATTTACTGATTCACTTGCATGTATTTCTCATGCAAGTCTTCCATATTTCCTAGTAGTTTTTCTTCTAGTAATTTTATCATTTTTATTGAGATATAATTGACATGTAACATTTTGTGAATTTAAAGTGTTTCACATGTTGGTTTGATACATTTATATGTAGCTGTGTTTTCTGTTGTATTTTTTTCAGTCTTTGCTTTCTTTGGTTCTCAGTTTTCAAAGGTTCTGTTGATATATTCCCAAGTTCAGAGATTTATACCTCAGCTGTGTCCAATCTACTAATATGTCCACCAAAGTCACCCTTTATTTCTGCTATATTGTGTGTGTGTGTGTGTGTGTGTGTGTTTTAATCTCTAGTGCTCCCTTTTGGTTCTTTCATAGGCTTCCTATGTCTCCACTTACATTGCCCATCTGTTCTTGCATGCTGTCTGCTTTATCCATTAGAGTCCTTGGCATATTAATCGTAGTTGTTTTAAATACTTGGTCTGATAATTCCAAAGTTTCTGCTCTGTCTGGCACTGGGTTTATTCAGTTTCTTCAAACTTTTTTTTTGTCTTTTGGTATGCCTTGTAATTTTTTCTTGATTACCAGACATGATGTAGTGATTGAAAGGAATTGCTGTAAATGGCCACTTAGGGGTCTCAGACCCCTAGACCAAAGAAAAAAAAGAACAATAACATATCTGACTTTTCTCTCTCTCTCTTTTTTTTAAAAAGATTTATTTATTTGTTCAAGAGCTGGGGTACAGGCCAGAGATGCAGGAGGTGAGTGGATTCACCAGAGACAGAGTGGGGAACAGAACAGGCAGATGGATCGAAGTACACTGTGAGGGGAGCAGTGGGCGAGTCAGGAGAGGTCTGCTGTGCCATGTGGGTTGCTCCATGGCTGGCTGGGGATCAAACTTGTGCTGCAGAGGCTGCGGATCACTTCATAGTGCGGTGCTTAACCCCTTGCACCACCAGGGAGGCCCCTGACTTCTCTTTTCAGTGTTGTTTTCACAGACACAACAGAAGTTTGACACTTATCTGAAAATGTTACACCTTGAGCATATGCAGAAGTAATTAACTTTGAGCTGAACCCTAAGATTGCTAGAACTAAGAGACCACCATGGAACAAAAGAAACAGCAAAACTAGAGGCTAATCAGACTGGATTTACAGGCATAAGACCAAATATCTAAAATCTAAGGACAGGAACCCTAAGAATCAGGTTATCTGAAAAAACCTCTCTATACTTCTCCAACTTCTCCATATATTTACCACCTTATGACTAACCAATCAAAGTTTACCACATCATACAGATCCCTCATTCTTTTTTTTTTTTTAGAGATTTATTAATTTATGCAGACAAGAGCTGGGGAACAGGCCAGAGGTGTGTGGGGGGATGAGAGGACCCACCAGAGACAGAGTGGGGAACAGAACAGGCAGACTGACCGAAGGGAGCACTGCTGAAGGGAGCAGCGGGCGAGTCAGAAGAGGTCAGCTGTGCCATATGGGTTGCTCCCTGGCTGGTCGGGAATCTAACTTGTTCTGCAATGACTGCAGATAGCTTCATAGGTTTCATCTTAACCCTTGTGCCACCAGGGAGGCCCAGAACCCTCATTCTTATAGATATATAATTTTTCTTTTCTTCCTCTGTTCCATTAAAAGCCCTTGTCTGCTTCAGACCTAGGGGAACAGATATGAGACTTTCTTCCTGTCTCCTTGCTGGCTGACTTGCAATATATATATATATATATATAATTTTTTTTTCCTGAAAAGCTGCTGTTGTAGTATTGATTTTTTTGCACTTCAGGCAATTGTGCAGTAACAAACATAGCCCTATGATTGGGTCTCAGTATTTTAGTGAGTCTCTGCCTTTCAATTGTGAGTTTCATAATAGTTTCTCCTCTTTCTCCTCCATAGGTGAGACAGAATGTCTACAGCAGGCTGGAGTTTGCTCTAGGCTCCAGTTTGCTGGAGTTGCTATTTCCCTTCTCTCCAATGGAAGACTAAAAGTGAATTTAGGTTTTTTGCCCCCAGACCAATTAGGCTCTGGTTAGTTAGCTCTCTCAAAGAGCAGGTCTTATTAAGGACAAGTGCTCTGGCATATTTTAAAATATTTTCATTTTCAGTCCCTCTCAGGAAGTCTGAGGGCATTTTCCTGCCATACATACTGTGGGAAACTGTCAATAACCTGGAAGTAATTATCACAATATTGTGAGGGCCCTCTCAATGACTGAGTCACATTGGAGTTTTTAACAATCAGAGTGTCCACAATGAATTCCAGCAGTTCATGGATTACAGTTTAGGTTTTTCTACCCCAGTACTACTTCAACAGTATTTCCTCTTACCACTGGTTATTGTTCTTTATAAGAAGAATAATGATTTCACTGATGATTATATAAAACTTTAATAATTAATAGCTCTAATAGTATTTCAGTTTATACTTTTATTTTCTAGTGGAAAATTTTATCATTTGCAAAAATGAACATTTTCTAAGACTTCATATTATATATGTATAGATATCCTAAATGTGTATAATTTTGTTCTTGATTTTTTTATAATTTCAAAGTTTATTTTTTAATATTTTATTTTATATAATTCTTACATCATTTATCATTTTTGCACAATGTATGCATTTTCATTTTGGTTATATTCCCCATACAATTGCACCCCCCCTTATTTTGACCCTAATCCTTCCTCTCCCTGCCCCTCCCAACCTCCCCCTGGTTTCTAGTTGCTTGTTCATTTTGATTTTTACTTTGTATTAATTAGTCTTTTTCCTTGTCCCTTATTTAGTTTTTCTAAATTCCTGCTATGAGTGAGACCATCTGGCATTTTTCTTTTTCTTTCTGACTTATTTTGCTGAGCATGATCCCTTCTAGCTCCACCCATGTTGCTGCAAACTGCATGTGTTTATCTTTTTTGACTGCTGAGTAATATTCAATTGTGTATATGCACCACATCTTCTTGATCCAGTCATCTTTTTTTGGGCATTTGGGTTGTTTCCATAGCTTAGCTATTGTAAATAGTGCTGCTATAAACATAGGGGTGCAGGTGTTCTTTGGAATTAATGTTTCTGTGTCTTTTGGGTAAATACCTAGGAGTGGAATTGCTGGATCATATGGAAGCTCTATATTTAGTAGGTCAAGAAATCTCCACTCAGCTTTTCATAGTGTTTAGACCAGTTTGCACTCCCACCAACAATGCAGAAGAGTTCCTTTTTCTCCACAATCTAGCCAACATTTGTTGTTGCTAGTTTTTTTAATATGTGCCATTCTCACTGGTGTAAGATGGTATCTCATTGTAGTTTTGACCTGCATTTCCCTGATTACAAGTGATGCTGAACATTTTTTCATATGCCTGTTGGCCATTTGCATTTCCTCTTCAGAGAAGTTTCTTTTTAGCTCTTCTGCCCATTTTTTGACTGGATTATTTTCTTTGTTGTTGTTGAGTCTCATTGCTCTTTGTAGATTTTTGTGATCAGTCCTTTATCATTAGTGTTGTGTGCAAAAATTTTCTCCCAGTTGGTAGGGTTTCTCTTTGTTTTGGTTATTGTCTCTTTTGCTGTGCAGAATGTCTTTAATTTGATGTAGTCCCAGCTGTTTATCTTTGCCTTAATTATCACTGCTTTGGGTGACGTATCTGTAAAGATGTCTTTGAGGTGCATATCATGTAGTGTTTCACCTATATTTCCTTCTGTGTATTTTATGGTTTCAGGTCTTACGTCTAGTTCTTTAATCCATTTTGAGTTGGTTTTTGTGCATGGTGTAAGGTAATAGTCAAGCTTCATTCTTTTGCATGTAGCAACCAAGTTTTCCCAACACCATTTATTGAACAAACTTTCTTTGTTCCAGTGCATATTCTATGCTCCTTTGTCAAAGATTAGTTGACCATAAATCTGTGGGTTTATTTCTGGATTTTCTATTCAGTTCCATTTGTCCACGTGTCTGTTCTTGTTCCAATACCATGCAGTTTTGATGATTATGGTTTTGTAGTTTGTAGTTCTTGAATTTAATATTCTTCCTATAGTATTTCTTCTCCCTGTATTTTCTAATGAAAAAGTAACTATTTTATGAATCCAGAATTGGATCATTTTATTCTTATTTTCAACTCCTCAGGGGTATAATTGAATATAATAGTCATCTATAATTTTTAGATTTCCAGTATATCTAGAATTGTTTGTATAAATGCCTGGCAATACCATTAATTTTTTTTTCTTTTGATGAACATTGAAAATATTTGTACTGTTATTTTTTTAGAGAGCCAATTTTATTTTACTAATGTTTTCTCTTGTTTATGCTTAGTCTCTATTTAGTTGAATTTTGTTTCTCAGATTGAGAATTTGTGCCTTTAAGATTCACTAATTTCTTTTTCTTTTTTAAGTTCCTTTCCTAGCATGTTTCAGTTTATGGACAAGGGGATTGTTTTCCTGAATTCAAAGTTCAAAATATAGTAATGTTTCTTTCATTGTACTGTATTCCAAGACACAATGTTATTGATAAAAAGATAACAGTATGATTCACATTCTATATAAATATCTTGTGTTAAAGTTATCATTCTATGTAAGTGTCCAAATAAAAAAGGCAAATTATAAAATGCAAACTAAGAAAACACAAATGATACTTATTTACATGAAGAGATACTGACATGTTTGTAATTACATTTATTAAATTTGTGTGGTATCATTTCATACTCATCAGTTTGGGAAAAATGAATATTCTATT